GCAGATGAGTCCTGAAAAACTTCGTTTAAGTACGTGTGACAAACACTATTTTTTGTCATACGCTTTTTAGAATTCTTCAGAACGCTAAAATTTGCAAATTTTCCTTAATTTTTGAAATCATATGGGTGCATCCAGATAGAAAAAGAATCCTAAAAAGAAGCATTTTACGGACTTGAATGTATCCGTGAAATAGCTGTTTTTGGGAGTGTATGACAAAAATATTAATTTTTAATCATTCTTCTTACTCCACTACTTTTTTGTACGCCACTGGTGGCTTTATTTTGAAAGATACGAAACAAAATTATATATCTATCGATAGAGAAAACTTTATTCTTAATTTTTTGTATTCTCTATTTTTTTTTGTTTTCAAGCGGTTTTAATGATATTGATCAATACGTGTATATGTGATTACCCCCCACCATATTTTTGTTCACGTTGGGCCTTACCTTGAAGATATAAACAAAAATAAGGTCATAGTCATTATGCAGAATTTTGTGCTCTATCGAATGGCACCAAAATGACGTTTCTATCTTTTACCGTTTATGAGAAAAATAATAAAAACTAAAACAATCCACTTATCAAAGGCGATTTTCAGCCTGGAATGATTATTTATCGGTAAATACCGTGGTTATTTTTTTGGTTGACAACTTTGACAGCCAAGTGTGACGTCATAGCCCCCCACCATTCAAGAATCAGAACCAAGGAACTGACCGTTGAAATGATTTGGTTATAGCAGTGTAGGATTATGTTTATTATTCCTATTTGTTTTTTCGTTTCAACAATAGTTTTTGTTTAGGTACAAAAAATGGAGCTGAATCTCTCGTTAGTCTCGTTTATCGAACAGATTTTCTGTGGGGATGATCTAAACCTCGATCTAAACATGGTGAATTGCAGTGAGTGAGTGAATGTATACTTTTTTCATTGTGCCAGGATACAGCGCAACTGCAAAATCACAAAACACCAATACAAATTTCAAAAATAGGTAATAACAATAACATCAAAAAGCTGTAACCAAAAGATTAACCCAAGTCCAAAGCTGGGTTATAATCGTTATAAGTGGTAATACCAAAAGCAAATCAGCTGATATGTGACGTCACAACTTCCCCTACTTTGGTTAAAACCGCGACGGCGGAAATGCATTGGTTATAACCAAATAATAATCATTCCAGGCTAAAAATCGCCTCTGGTTTGAGGGGGGTGGAGGGGGGTCGGCATGACTTTTTGAGATGGGTCTGTTCAAAAATCTACTAATTCTGACATGTTCTTTCACTTGTGAAAAGGATTTGCTTTTACTCAAAAACCGAAGTATGAAACCCTCAAGTCACTAGGCTAAAAGGTAAAATGAAGGTAGACAACTACTAATAAACGAAAATTGAAACATTTTCCTCTTTTTCAATTTGTAGATAAAACGTTGTTCATCAAACGTGGGTTTAAACATGACCCCAAAACTCGTGTGATTAGAACGACTCGGTCTACGACCGTCTACGACCTCGTCGTTTTAATCTTTCACACTCGTTATTGTAATCATGTTCATAAACGCACTGTAATGTAAATAACTATTATACCTGTGGATGTTGTGGTGTGGGAAAGAAGGGGCGGTAACGCATGCGCGATCACCGATCCTACAACTTCTATTGGAGTGGTTGTTGGATAATAAAGAATGAGGTTCCAAATTTAGTTGAGTAGTTGAGCTTCACTGCCTTTTTTATTCTGTTGGTTGAAGCTAGCCGTATCCGTATGTTTATTGATATCCTGAAGCGGGTGCCAGAAGTTTAAACTCTCCAAAAATGTCGTGATTCCCTTCACTGAGCGCGTGTTCTGCAACTGCTGATTTGTCAGTTTGTCCCAGTCTGTCGTTCCCTTATTCTGGTTCCCAAAAATCTTTCCGTGGTATGTACACCAGTATATATGACGTATGTTGAGATGGAATACAGTAGACTCTAGCGGCTGACAGTGGATCCCTCTTACCTTCGGGCTTTGGCTGATCTGAGGAATTATATTTTTCTTGTGGGGTTGAAGATCGTCTTTATATTGTGTTTTTTCAAGCGTTTTCCGATCCTGTCCATCCCCCGAATGATAAATGGCAGATATGCGCTTTCACTAGCTTCTCATCTGAATTTCGACGTGATTCGTCTCATAGCAGAGCGCGACGAGTGTGTAGGTACTGTCAACTGTCCGCTTCCTCTTCTTCTTCTGATTTTAAGTGGCCTAAACTATTTACTCGAATAATTTACATATACATGACAGATTATAATGACCAGAACACTGAACAACGCCTTGCTTGTCCCAGAACTGCTCCGAAATCCGATTTGATAGTTTACAATTTGTTGAGTGGTCTTTTGTGTACCTCCATTAACTATTTCAATAATTATCTTTAAAGCGTGGCTGAACAGTCGGTAATCTTTACATTTTCGTGATAATATCGATAAAAGTGGATTCTGGCTATTCAGTGGATATGCTTCCAGTGTCGTCTCAAATAGGTATCGGAGGATTGGAGGGGGAACCAAAATGAGGCACTTTTTGAATCACCCCGCCTCACCCCTTAGCGGATAGCTACCCTAACTTATTTTTTTTAAAATACGAACCTACCTTGTGATGCACATCGTTCGATAGCTCGTTGCTATCCCTTTACAGTCATATAGCAAAATCTTGAATAGGACGATTGGTTTTTGGGATATCGGTGTTTAAAAGTGAGCATATTTTGAAAACTAGTAATTTTGACTTTGTATTAGACAGAAGAATTCTGTCATAAAAGTCTCAAATACACATCGAGGAACCAATTTTGTTTATTGCCTAACCCCCACCCCTTTTGTTTTGGAGGCTAGCCGCTCCTAATAATTTTCCTAAAATGAGAACCTACCCCGTGTGATAGCTTCTTTGAAAGGTTTTTTATTCGTCTTGAGAGACGTCCAGAAGCAGATAGAACTACGATACTCGCATTATTTGGTTTCGCCGATGTGTATTCAAGACTTTTATGACAGAATTTTTTTGTCTATGAGATAGTCAAAATTACTAGTTTCCACAATATGCTTACTTTACTTTTAAACACCGATATCTCAAAAACTAATCGTAGGTACGATTTGAATTTTTTTTATAGGACTGTAAAGGGATAGCATGGAGTGATTCAACGATGTGCAACAAAAGGTAGGTCGGTATTAAAAAAAATTAGTTGGGGTAGCCACCCCTTAAAAGGTGAGGCGGGGTGACTGAAAAAGTGTCTTATTTTGGTTCCCTCTCCAATCCCCCGATACGTATTTGAGATCTTCCTGATAGTATTTTTTGTGTAAGAGATATTCCCGATTGCTCGTTTTCAAATTGTCACCAGTAAATGTTCTCTGTTAGCTGTGAACATATTTTTCATTTATTGCTATTGATGCATCCTTTGGGTCTCATGCTTCCCAATTTTATCCTCTATTTTTTTTCGCGCTCCTGTGCTTATATTATTTATTTTCTCGATATTGGTATGAGAATGTCATTATTTTCGCACGTAAAATCGTTGAAGAATGAAGCTCATTCTTCAACGATTTTTAGTGACATTTAGTTTTCAAAGTATACCTAACCTTCAAAATTGTCAAACCTTCTAAAATGATAGAATCCACCTAACAGCGACCACAAAAAAATTTATAAAAATGAAAAATAAAATCCAAAATCAAGAAAATAGTATAAAACTCACGTTGCAGAAGAGCAGAAGGCTATTCTCGCACTTATTCGTTCGTCCACTCGCTCCTTCGTCGCTCGTGGCCAAATTTCGAATTCGTGCGGGAAATGTGGCCTTCTGCAACTTGTATTTTAATATACTATTCTGCTACCAGCTCGGATTCTGTGTGTGTTTTTGAAGTTTTTTTTTCTCAGTTCTGTGAGATTAAGAACTTCTACCACTTCGCCATCCACTTTCTTCACTATTGTCTTGATCTGATTCCACATGAATGTTCTGGTTCTGGCTCTAATGATCTTTCAGATATTTGTGCCAATTCATTCTGGATTTGTGATCCTATGAAATTCGTAACTGATTGTCGTTTAGTTTATTTTATTATGGGTCCTTTGCTTTTCCTGGATTTTAAAGAGGAATTTGTGCAAGAGAAGAATGTAGTCTAATGGAAATATTCAAGAACTTTTATCTGATTTTGACAATTTTGTAGTAAATTTCGTATTATTTCGTGTGAGCATCAGCAGGATATTTCCAAGTGCAAGACGCACTTTTTGCAGAACTGTATACGAATCGGTCCCTCGTTCTTTTTTGTACTTGCCCAGATTGTCAATGAAGAATTTCCTTGAATTTTGATGAATTAACATAGTCCGAAGAAGTTGAAACACGGGTTGGTATGGCCGAAACAACATTCTGAAACTCAAGACAATGTTACTGCATAGAAATCTACCCTTGAATTTTCGATTCAGGGTGATTCGAGCTTACGCTTGGCCCGTATTGCTGTACGCTGCCGAGACTTGGTCAATTAAAGGATTAAAGTCAAAACGGTGAATCGCATTGAAGCATTTGAAATGTAAATTCTACGTACCTACCTAGGCTATTGAGAATATCACGGACTGAACATGTAGGTAACAAATGAAGAAGTATTGAGAAGAGCGGGTAACGAGAGACAATTTATGGCTATGGTAAAACAACGAAAAGCCTCATATCTTGGTCACATTCTGAGAGGTGACAGATATGCAATCCCCAAACATATTCTTCAAGGAAAAATAGGAGGTTGCTGTGGCAAAAAAACAACATTAATGGCTTCGTAACATCAGAGACTGGAGTAAAATATCTGATGCAACACCAATGTTTCGCCAAGCTGAATAATTCCCTTAGTGCGATGAAGGAAAGGATAAAATGATCCCAATGTGCGGACTCCAAGAAGAATAATGAAGAAGAAGAAACTAAATTTAGGCCTTATCTTGGTTCACCGTCACTATTTTTAAGTCAAAATTCAAATTCTCAGTCTTTGTTATGTCCACATTCAAAATTAATATTCCGTGGCTAATAACTCCAGACAATTTATTAATAAATTTGCAAATAAAAATAAGGTTTAGCTATATTTGCTAAAGAACTAGTCATACGCTTTGTGTATATTTTTCACCGCGATAAGATAAGTGTAGACGTTATAAATTCTCGTAGGCGGATCATTGTTATTATCAGTGCAATTTTTCAAGTCAAACTGTTAAATAAGCACAGGTACCTACCACATATTATAAGGAAAAATTATGGCTGGTAAGTCACATGTTTGAAATTATATATTTAATTGTTGCTTCATATTTTGATTATCCAAAAAGTAGGCATAGCAATATAAAAATATCTCTTCAGCTTTAACATAAACTCCATTTTCATGCACAGATTCGAATAATTTTTCTCAGTAGGTGAGGTGTCAAAGGTATCACATTGACCTAATTGCTTCAGTTTCAGTTGATCTTTAGGTACACAAGATAGTAAACATTATTTGAGAGATTTATGGCATAGGTAGCAGTTTGTTTTTAATTTTCAAAGCTTTTTTTAGCAAATTTATATTTATTCACCCAACTCATCCAAAAAAAATTTTATTATCATATTCTAGAAAATATGTCCTACCTATCTATCTAGAATCTAGACAAATCATACCTGAAGAAAAGTAGTTTGTTAAAGCATATTTGACCCTACATGCAAATTTCTTGAAACAAATCCGCTTCTACATAAAACAGTCAATTTTGTTATTTCAAGTAGGTTATTACTGTGTATGAAAAAATTTTCTCCCTACTAGGACACAGCTATAATAATCAACTAAAAAGTTGTTGGCACCCTACATCCTCATCGGCTACATTCCTAAGTTCTTTCACTGGTCCCTCAACACCTCAACGGTCTAAACCCGCCGCTGTCCCATCTTGTCCTTCGTGTTCGTGTCCACCTTCGACTTATTGTCACTTGTGTCGTCCAATAAATGCTCCCACTCACACTGGAACGTCTAGAGAGGGTGGTAAGTAATATAGTACATCATTCCAAAAAATAGAATTAGCAGCTCTTCGCCACTATATACTCAAATTAGCTCACGGATGAATTAAATAGTCCAGGTGATTTTGAAAAAATGCCCTACTAACCCAAGCCTAATGACGTGTGAACTTTCTGATTCCCACATATTTCTATAAATCTGATGCAACTACTATTGTTTTCTAGCATATTACTGGGTAGACACATTCGCACACGGCGCCACGCCTTCTACAGCCATCCATGGTGGGTACGATATTGATGGTACGCAAATTTACGTTGGACGAGCATTTCATGAAGGTGACTGGTTACCGGCCAAAGTTATGCCAGAGAAAAATGTCGCCTATGTAGCATATAACGGACAAGAACATGCCAAAGATAGATATCAGGTATTGAATTATATAACCCAATTAATTCTTAATCCGCAATTTTCTTATCTCACCGTAAGCCTAAATTCTAATAAAATGTTATTAGCTTATTTGTTGCTAATCGATGCCGATGATTCCAAATACAGGCATATCATAATTTAGGTACAAAATTCTCATTCTCCGAAATTGTTCATGTATGTTTAATTTATGGTCTTAATAAATATCTGTTTTTAGTCACCATACCTATAGTGTAAATTTCACTTTCCTGTAATAATGATTAGTAAAGATATGTATAGGGACTTGCGAACAACTAAGATTGCACAACAACAGGTTGCTGTTGTTATTTTGATTCTAACCTGTTAAAATAGGCTCACATTTCGATAATTTTTTATTGCGAACGATTCAGTTATCGTGTGTTGAAAAAACTATCTATCTATCTACCTATTTAGCCTCCTTCAGTCCATCTTTGGACGTAGGCCTCTCCCAGTTTTCTCCATTCCTCTCTGTCTGTTGCCATGTTCATCCACCTGGTTCCAGCGTGCTTCTTCAGGTCATCAGCATATCTCATCTGGGGTCTTCCTCTACTTCTTTTATTCTCCCAAGGTCTCCAGCTGAGAATACATTTATTCCATCGGTCTTCTTTTTGTCTATTATAACCTGCGAATTTCCATTTCAATTTTGCTACCTCCTTTTTATTGCACTGGTTCAACAAATGAAAACCGCTATTAGTGTCCACACTACTCACTAGTGTCCGCACTATTCTGCAATCGGATTTCACTTTGCAGTCCTCGAATTATATCTCACTTCTGACACCAATGTAACGGCTCTGGGGTGCGTGACAGAAATCTTAGGTCCGTTCATTTCAAAATCCAAGTCCAATTAGGCAGTCTCAATCACGTGATTTTGTATGGCCGTTCAGGTCAAACATTGCGGACTGCGGTGACAGAGCATTTGTGTTCTTGCCCTTGTTGCTTTCGAAGTGAATAAATCATATCCCAGCCAATCTTAAACTAGAAAAGTTCTAACTAAAACCGGCCTTTATATATCCGTAATCCATTCTTGTAAAATCCAGAATAAACGCGATAAACTCTGTCTAACCAAAGTTGAACGTTGAAGGTCACTTACTCGAATATATCACAGACGTTGCTTTTTGCTGCTGTCTTTATTGCACGCGCACTTTGTTTATCAAACCAAAATAGGTCCGAATATGTGAATCCTATGGTTACAAGGATGAGTAAGTGACCTTCAACGTTCAACTCTGGTTAGACAGAATTTAACCCTTTTTCCCAGATAGCAGTAATAGCACTGTAAAATCTAGAATCAGCTGTTCAATTCTGTACACCTGGTGCTTCCGCCAAATTTTCGCGATAATACATACAGGGTACACGCTAAAGATGTGGCAGACACAACTTGTATTTTTTTAAATGGATCACCCTGTATATTTTTGGCTAGAATGATCTATTTTTTTCTTCTGATTCCAAATATACCATCATATATACTGATATTTCGTTCAGCTGTTTTCACGCTATTTAAGTTTAAAAATATGTACGATCGTCACCAAAAGTAACTGGGACAGCATGATATTAGCTCTTGTACTATTATATGATTTTTAGTGTCCAATATTTGTCAAACTATGAATAAAATGAATGATGGTAGAATTAGTCCAAGAGATTATTATGATTTTTTTTTTGTCCTAGATACTTTTGGTGACGATGGTACATTAACATTACCCTAAGTTAGGTCTGTTACGGATTCCTTATATCAATGGTGAGGTTTACTTAATGCAATTTTAAACTTAAATAGCGCAGAAACAGCTGAACCAATTATCGACATACCTATACGGTATATTGGGAATCAGAAGAACAAAATCTCAAAATCTATCATTCTAGCCAAAAATATACAAAGTGCGCAAGTTGTGTCTGCCACATCTTTTGAGTGCACCCTGTATATATAAAAGTTAAATTTTCTAACGGTTCTCATAAATCCCTATTTACTTTGTATTTACATTTTTTTGTCTAACTTGCTTCATAAGCGAGCTATATGGTGTCTAAAGTCTGTTTTTTTTTTTAAAGATAATTCCCCAAGTCAAAAATTTAGTAACTATAATGTTGGCAACACAATCCTTTTCTACATAAAAATTTTGAAAGCATTGACAATTTTTCATTCTATCGCCAACATTATGTCATTTCATTTTGACTTTTATCTTTAAAAAAAAAACAGACTTAATATACGGAACAACCATGTACAGGGTGTTTCAGATTGGAGCCACATCATTGGGATCTCGGAAACGGTAAGATATACAGGGTTGGTTAAATGGGGGCAAAGTTGCGTAATTTGATGCTTAACAAAATGCCGCTTTGATATTTAGGATATTCCGAGATATCCGGAAATAACCGAAATTTTGCAAAATTGTTTTTATTTTTTCCTGACTTTATTTGGAGTGATATTCCAAAATAAATGTCACTTCATCATTGGTACCTTTTGTACCCTACAAGATGCTACCATCAAATTTGAAATCTGACGTTTCGTCTTTGGGCCACCATCATCAACTTCATTTTTTCAAATACGGACCCTTACAGAGAAGAGAATTTTGGTAGGAAATTACTAAAAAATAGATTTTTTCTACAAACGTCACTAAAAGTGTCATTTTTAACGGATGCTGTCAGTGTCTAAAATGCCATTTTATGACACTGGTGCTAAAAGTGATTACTTTTAGCACTAGTGCTAAAAGTAATCACTTTTAGTGCGTTTCTAGAAAAAATAGTGTATGCTATTCGTGCTAAAAGTGATTTTATTTTGTTCAAAGGGATGGAACACTCCGCCTTCGGCGTCGTGTCCCAAACTTCCCTTTTCACAAAATAAAATGTCACTTTTAGCACTTATATCATAAATAACTATTTTTTTTTCGAACAAATGCAATACGTCATAGGTTTTTGGGACATCAGAAGCACTAAAAATCTGAAATAAAAAATCCAGGGTCGTATTTAAAAAAATAGAGCTGATGATGGTGGCCCAAAGACGAAACGTCAGATTATAAATTTGATGGTAGCATCTTGTAGGGAAGAAAAAGTGGCTACAATAATGTGATATTTTTTTGGAATATCACTTCAAATAAAGTCAGGAAAAAATAAAAACAATTTTGCAAAATTTCGGTTTTTTCCGGATATCTCCGGAAGTATTAGGAATCAGAGCTGGGAGTAACGACAAAAAAAGTTACTTTACTTTAACGAGTTACTGAAAGGCTGAAAGTAACGCGTTACTTGGTAACTTCGTTACTTTTCAGATTGATTGATAAGTAACTGTAACGACGTTACTTTCCTGAAGTAACGCTGGAAGTAACGCGTTACTAGTTACTATGAAAGTAACTCGTTCTCTCAATTTGTTTATCTTCTTTACAAATAATTGACGAGTGAGGAAAAGGAAAATAAGTAATCCAAAAACTTTGTACGTCAAATAAAATGTTGGTAGTACAGAAAATTTCTTTTGAAAGCTCAAAATAATCGTTTTTGGGCGTACCACGCGCCGCCTCTGTTCTAAGGACACTATATGCAGACACTGGGACACTTCAAAGAGCAGGTTTGTCCAAAATCAAGTGCTCTATTCAGTCGCCTAATCCTTAATCCGTTTGAATTTTGCAAGAATACTCTTCCACATAGTCGGACTCACAAACTAAAAACATTATGGCATTTCGTATAGGTTTTATTTGATTGTTTGGACTGCTGTGTTGGTGAATCAAATTAAGAAATAACGCAATTTTCGACGTAAACAGTTATTTTTGAAGTAACGCGTTACTTTAAAAGTAACGAACTACTTTTAAAGTAAAGAAGTTACTTTCAAAGTAACGAAGTTACAGTAACGCGTTACTTTCCAATAAGTAACGAAAATAAAGTTATCAATATTCGAAAGTAACTGTAAATTTTAAGTAACGAGTTATTTTTAAGCAAAAGTAACTGTAAAGTAACGCGTTACTTTTTTCAAGTAACGATCCCAGCTCTGTTAGGAATATCCTAAATATCAAAGCGGCATTTTGTTAAGCCTCAAATTACGCAACTTTGCCCCCATTTATGGAATGCAACTCATGATCGAATGATTATTCACGTATCCTAATTAAGGTAACTAGAACAAAATATGAATATACTGTCGACCTATATCCTATATTTGCACCCATCGAAACAAAATCGAACCGAATTTACACAATTTTCTTTATTAAGTACCTACGTTATAAGAAGCACTTTCTTTATCATGTAAACCAAATAATTATCTGTAGGTATTCAAATTATTCAATTATTCGATTTTCAGTTATCATGGGCGGCTAATTACCCCCTGTACCGTAAATCCGTCCTTGTTGACAGCGGAGCATTTTCACTCAATTGTTCTCCAGATATAGATACTAAGTTTCTTGGGTTACAAGTAGACATTGACCTCAAATTTTCTCAATCATACATCATCACCCTTAATAAGAAACTTGCCTCTGGATTTTACTGTGTGGGAGCGGTGGCCCTTGTTTGCAACCATACAATCGCATATCTTTGCTATAGACTACCAGTCTGGGGCTTTCGTCGGCAGTATCTCTGCCAACACACATTTAAACTCCAAAAACGTGCACATCGATTACTGGTCGGTGCTTCTCCTAGGGATTACTGTGGACGTCTATTCCGGAACTATGCCATCCTAACTCTCCCATGTCTCTTTATCTTATGGAATCAGCTAGTCTTGTCCACCAACACAGGTCTTCATTTTCTGATAACCACCAAACCAATCATGAAACACGTCAAAGGTTTACCATTCCGCTTCCTATTCCCCACACTCTGTGCTTGTTAGGAATTCTGCAATCTACAATGCCTATTGCCTGCAATAAAATTCTATCCCTAACCTTTCCTCAGCTATCAAAAATATTTCTCTCTTGTCAAGCTTTCGCAGAGAACTGAAACACAAACGCGTTCTAGTAGGACGAGCTTTCTATACTTACTATCGAGGAATTTCTGATATAATCTAAAGCTAAAGAGTCATTTACATCCACTAAACCTACAGAAAATTATAATTAACGTACCAATGTTCTAAAGGAAAATATGGCAATATGGTTACAAATTATGTAGTACATCAACGGTGGTACGAAACTGAGAAGGTGTGTGTTTACAATGGAGTTAATGGATTTCCTTAATAAGTTGAAGTTGGCCGAACTTTTGCGTGTGTTACATTATTTTTTTAAATTTTCAGGTGGATGTAAACAACTACGTATAGTAGTAAATGATTTGCAACTTTTCTTTATTAATTATTAATTTACCGTACGGTGAGTGGATGTAAATGACCCTTTACATAATCACAATTATACAGCTTTTAGGCTACTAAGTAAACTACATTTATATGCAATTCTATAAGTATTTAATTTTTGTAGGTATTGTGCGAGCAAAGATTCGACTGGGTACCAAGTTCCGGAGGTCACGTACCACCAGGCGCTGTAGAAGGAGGAAGAACGTCTGATGGAGAAACTTTATATGTTGGAAGGGTACATCATGAGGGATCTCTCACCGTTGGAAAGGTACGTTTTGTCTTCTTACCATTTACTCACTACTGATCCATTTATCAGTCATGATACTTGCGCATATTTTTGGAGGTACTGGCGTGTTGCCTTTTAGATCATATTTTTGGAAAGGGTGAGGTTTTTGGGGTGATGTATGATTTTAATGTGTGATTTCATATAAAGCTGACCAAGATCATCTTGGTCAGCTTTATGACATATAATTAGTGACTGACAGATCCAGTTACTTACAATTAGAGACTATCTAGCAACCCAACTACCTACTTATAGCTCAAACAACCTTGCTTATAACCTGCATATTATGCAAGGTAATAGAATAACAAAATGCGCCTATTAACCTAAATCTCAACTGCCAGACGACATATAGCATCACAAAACAGCAACCAAGTGACAGATTCTTCAGGGCACAATATATATGAACGCACCATGTCAAGCATCAAGAGTCCATCTGCTCAATAAACTCATCTTCTGTTGGAACAATTAAGCTTTAATCAACAGGAAACATCAGAAACTGTCTTTGATACAGGATTCACACACATCCTTGAGGCCATGTTTCAAGTCCTGATATTATCAGCAATTATTAGCTTTATTATTAGTTTGCCCTGCGCCAATGTTATTCTATAGTTGAGGCCTTGAAAAAATAATTTGATCACTAATAATAAAAACGAATCTAACATAATTTTCTTTCAAATTTTAGGTCCACCCAAGTCATGGTGCTTGCTACATTCCATTCGGCGGAAGGGAAATAGGAAACGATTCCTATGAAATCCTCGTGCTCAGATCTTAAAGATTTTTTTCTTTTCTTCTTTTCAACGTTAAAGTTATGAATTTTGTTTGGTTATGGTAGAAGCAAGTTTAGTGAGGAAATTTTAAAGGTCTTAATTGGTTTTCAATTTTAATAAAAAGAAATAATTGAACGAGAAATGTTTCATTTTTAAACACAGACCCAACTGGTTGAGCCACAATGCCTACTAATCATTCCAGTATAAGTTTGATGCAAAAGCCAACAACCAATGTATTTGGTGAAAAATCTGGAAGTTTATGAAGAGATAAAAAGAAATGTCAAAATTATTGATTCAATGACGAACAGTTCTGGATTCTGGAAAGATGAACAAATCAAATTTCCACCAACGAAATATATTACAAAACCAATCCTTATCACATAAACGAATCGTCTTTAATTGTACTAGTAGACATGTCTACCTCTTCTTCTTCATCCTCCTCACATTCCATTTCAAATAATTTAACTTTGCGTTTATTCTCAGATAAAACTATACTGACTCTGCGGGTCCCTGAAACTGAAAATTGAGTCACTGGCATTTCAACGCTTTTGAAATGCCTTTGTCCTAAAGTCCAACCATTGATATTTGGAATATTTTCTTCAGTTAATTGAGAGAATAAATTCACTTCTATAAGTTGCTCTAGAGCTGAGGCCATTGATAATTGGAGAATACCTCCCCGTTTATTATTCTCATCAGTTTCTTGTAGAAGTATTGACAATATACTCGGAGAATAAAATTGCGTATCCACGATTGTAAGTAATTGTTCTTCAGCATTAAAGAAAAAATTGCCACATCTTGCCTGACAATTCCGTTGACTATCAAACAATACTTGGAGCAAATAAATACTTTTTGAAGGTTTGAGAAGAGCTATCAGTAACATATCATTCGAAATGTTTATAGAAGAAATTTTTATCTCACTTGTGCCAAAATTGAAACAATCAAACTTGCTTATTGGTTCTATAGTTTTTTCAATGGCAGCTAGAGGCGACTGAAATACTTTTTCAATATTATCTTTGAGCTCATTGAAAACTTGTACTAAAGATTTATCCTCATAATGTGTCAATATGTTGCTATTGTTTTTCAAACATTCATTGTCCTCAATAAACTGAGTCCAATCATTTCCACTCATGTCAGGTTTTATAATTAAATCTTCATTAACCAAATACTGGCCCAGACGTTCCATAATAAACTGCTGACTACCTCCTTCCTCACCCTCTTTTTGCCCATAACTATCGAAATTTTTTAGAAACTCTGTTATACAAGCCAGATCTTGCTGGGTCATTTTTTGAATTTCCGAAGGAATAGGTTCTTCCATAAGGTGCATGATGGAAGCGTATAACCAACGAAAGAATGCTTTATAGTTGATGACTGAATGGTTGATGATTTGTTGCATTTCCCCAGCTTTGATGACGAAAGCACCGTTCGAGCGAATTGCTTTCTGGATGAGGTCTTCGTCCAAACCAATAACCTAAAATAAAAATATAATTATTACCATAATTGGTTGGTGACATATTTTTTAATTAATAAGAGTAAGGCATAAAATGTGACATAATCATGTTAGATATAGGTTGAAAAAACTCGTATGCAAGTTAATTATGATTTTACTAGAAAGGAGAAGCGGTTTTAGCCTGAGCCATCATCATCACTACTTGGCAAGGTATTCAACGTGTCACCCTAGAATTTGGGACACCCTGTATAAAAAAAAAAAACACAAAAAAGATCATCATTTTTTTGATGAACTTCATTCAGGTGTTCAACCAGAATAAAAATCGAGGACATTGCAGTTCCAGTTCCCGTTTGTTTTATGAGAAACCATTGTATCTAATTAAAAGTAATGAGATAATGCAATGGGCCACTTTCACATTTTTCGAAAACATTTTTAAATTATCTGTATGCTTATTTCCCAAAAAAAAAAAAAACGCCTGCAAGATTGGGGAAGATGGAGTGCAATGAGATATAGAAAGAGAAAGAGACTCAACACTTTTATGGTTTTTCTATCGCTTACGTTCATTGATAACACAATTTTTATTCAGGTTCTTAGATTTTGAATACTTTGGAGACTGACGGGTTCGGGTCGGGCTTATATGAATTCATCTCCGGATGTGTCCAAGTGTGGATTTTCTTCCGGATCATCATTCTGATTATCAGATGTTTGCGCATCTTGTTTATAGGAGTTAGTTTCTTGTTCTGGTTCGTTACGAGATTGAAAGGGATTTTCACTATCATCATCGTCATCAAATTCAGGTGCACTTCCACGTGCTGCGAGATGTCTTAAATTGACAGTATTTTCGATGCCATCGGGAAAGCGAACAAACGCATAATCTGGGTTTGCTTCCAGCAAATACATCTCCTCCAGAAACGGGACATATTTATTTACTTTTCCTAACATTCTTTTTCATCCAAAGAGGGCCAAGGACTTGAAAGCCATTGTTCTGTTTTCAGACCACGAGACTTCAGTGCGAGCGAGATTGTTTTCCATATTTTACCATTAAATCTTTCCACTTGACCATTGGATTCCGAATTATAAGCAATTGTTCTGCTAGTGGCTATACCTTTTGAATGAAGATATTTCTCCAGTTATTTTAACATGAAAGAGCTTCCTCAATCAGACTGTATGTACGAGGGCATTTCCTATTGAAAATAGATTTGTGAAACATTTAATCACAGTCCCTGTAGTCATATCAGGGCAAGCGTATAAGCAAAAGGGAATCTTGAGAATTATTGGTAATAGGTAACGATTTGTTGTGGATGTTGGAAGACGACCTTTAACCCGTAACTCGTGAGGTGCGAGGTTTCTCAAACCCAACAGATTTTAAGAATCTTTACCACGTATTAACTAATGGTTGGAGACCCGCCACCGCCTGTGTATAGCTTTCGGTCCGTTGTCCGTTAGTACCCGGTGTCAACAACGCGCGATATTTAACTTGGTATGCGATATTACGATTTGTGTACAAATTAGAGTTTGCTCAACCCACGCGTAACCCCACCTCACTGTGAGTCGTTTGGGTTAATTTTGCCAAAACTTTTTTCTTTGAATGTTTTTGAATGCACGTTTTTTTATTATGAATTAGCAGAATCGCCTTTTTCATTTGGGGTTTAGCAAACCCCGCACCTCACCGGTTATGTAACAAAAACATGACCTCTCTAGTTGCGGGTTAAAATCAATGTTGAGCTTTTCAAATGGTCTTATTTATTTTATTAGTATCTCTTGATTTTTACTCTACAAATAGTGCAAGCTGCGGTAACTTTTAGTACATCGTCTATGGAATAAGGGTAATTTCGAGATCGAATCCACTGAAACATTCTAGTTATTCCAGGATGACAAAGTGCATCATGTAACTCGTACCATAGAATAACTCGTACAATTTATTCTCAGTTGAAGCCCCACATACCCAAGACAAAGTATCGGCTACGATATTCCCATTCCCATAGCAATCTTTGTTGTTTTTTTTTTGAAGACCCGATAGTTATACTACGAGAGCCCATGACACAAAAGCCTCAGTCATCTGTTAGAAGGCCGTTTTTTGGTGGCCCGGTATGCCAAGTCCTCGGTCAATTGAAAAACGTAATGGTTGACGGGTTTCGGTGTGCAGAAGCTGAGGGGTGGATGAATTTTCACTACCCCGAAATAAGGCTTTCTGCCTTATGAGTTAGAAGCTTTTTTTTGTTGTGAATAAATAATATGGACCTACTGAGGCCTGAACAAGAACGGTTGGCGGGTCTTCCCCCTCTCTTCACCATGCCCACCGCGTTCTAAGTGAGATTCCCAAGGGAAGTTCCTACCTCACAAGTCAGAAGGACGAAAAAAAGTGGAAATTATACATTTCCACTTCCTCGTCCGTTCTGCGCTGGGTTGGCAGCCGGTTGGCGCTCTATTGTTTATTTAAACATATGTTTTTGCGAAATTGAACTTTGAAGTTGTATTTTCCCTCGCTATAATCTAAAGAATTAGTGGGGGTTTTTACAAATTTTACATGAATAAAAAAAATAATACACAGATTTATCAACTGGATAAATGCGACTTCATCCGCAGGTTACATACATAATTTTTTTCTGCAAGGAGAAAAAAAAAAACATCAGAATGGCTTAAATAAACCCACATCAGAGTTGCTCAAATTTGGCATAAAAAAAAATTTTCACGCACGCAGTGCAGAAAAGTGGTACTTTCCGCACGCAAATCAGTGCGTGAAAACGCGTTTTCCGCACGCTCGTAAGAAAAGAGACGTTCCGCACGTGTTAGGATCACTATTTTTTCTACGAGATGGAAGGTAATATTTTTACCTACATATTCATCAATTTAAGTTTTTTTTTTTTCACTTTTTCGTACCTGTACCTGTAGTATACCTGTATACCTGTAAGTACCTGTATACCTAAAAATTTCAGGTATTCTACTTTTCCGGACTCAGTGCAGAAAAAAACGGAAAAGCACTAGTACGGAAAAGTGATACTTTCATGACCTAAAATGCGTGCGGAAAACTATACTTTTCCGCACGATCGTTTCACCGGATCATTTGACATCAACTTTGAATTTAATCCATGATTAAAATTAAATTTATAATCTTCGGTCAAATTTAAAGTTGGTGTTAAATGATAGCTTATGGAAATCTAAGATAGGAATGTAAAATCGGTTTTCCTCTAAAATTAATTTAGGTTTTACAGTCTGTCAAAGATGCAAAACAGTCAATTTTAAACTGTCAATACTTCCGGAACAGTTGAAGATAGGTATATGACATTGTACATGAAATATGTTTCGAATTTTCCGCAGAATCCAGAAATGTCATAATATACAGGGCTAGTCATTCAAAAAAATATAGCCTTGTGTCACCACGACTTATTGGGCCACCCTGTATACCGGAAAATAATTTAGGAATGTAGAACTCATGTTTATCTACAAGTTTTGTATTTACTTTTTTCTTCGATCTCTGTTAGTATAGGAGATAGGGACCACTGCGCTCTTAGTAACTCAGCCTGTATAAAACATATAGGTGTGGGTATGTGTGTATGCATCTATACTATAAATTTTAGATGTAGACATTCTTGACTGGCTTGTTTAATAAGTGAGATGATCATTGGGATTCAGTCTTGGCAAAAATAAAACTAGTTTTTCACAAACGCCGAGCTTTCGGAAATTTTATTGTTCCCTTTTTCAAGGGTGCAAAGTTAGTTAAATTATTTTAGAATAATTAGCCATTGTTGAAATTGACATCTTTGGCGCATCCGACTGCGCATATGCCCCGTGAAAAATGTCCGACAAGGTTACCACGTTATTGTAAAATATTTTTATGGCGGATTCTGTTCAAATCAGCCGTGTGGTAATAAAAAAAAATCCCATAAATTTGATATATTCAACGTGTCCGACCGACGCGTCGAATGCCCCAATATTTTTGTCCGACGCATTTTTTTTCGTTGTTTATGTGATAAAAACTATTGATTAAAAAAAAATTACCAATGTGGTCATAAATTTTTTTCTTGCATAAAATCGACAACTTCGTGACAGCTTGACAGACAAACGCCCCACTACCATAATGCGGTAAGCTCAAAATTTGTCCGACTCCACCCAAATAACAAATACAAAAAGTTTCGAAGGTGTGGTCATAAATAAAAAATTTAGATCTGGGCCCAAGGACTATTAGTCCCCAGTACATCGACCCTAAAATTTTGTAACTCATGTACACGCCAAACTTCCTGAGCGGCTTTATAACACCAAGTCGGACAATATTTTTCATATCTCCACCCTGGGCGATGGGATATTGCCGCGCTAGCTCTTCGTGAAGTTGTCGTTCTGACGTCCCTAAGGAAGTTGATACATGTACGTGTAGTTTCAATGCCAATCGACTGTTTTTTATATTACATTAACGATATCACATTTGTCGGACAAAAACCATGTGGCTTTGGTGAAGTTCCGATGCCCTCAACATGTCGCTGTGGCGTCCCTGAGGAAGTTGATACATGTACGTGTGGTTTTGATGCCAATCGACTGTTTTCTATGTTACATTATTGATATCACATAGGTCGGACAAAAATCACGTGGCTCTGGGGGGGTCCGACGCCCCCAACATGTCGCTGTGGCGTCCCTAAGGAAGTTGATACATGTAAGTCCGACAAAAATAATTATGAATAACAATGTAATTTTAAAACATGTGTAGTAAATGTCGGACAAATAAAATGAGTATTAAAGTCAGTCGGACAACAAAAGTCCTATTGATCAATTTCTGCCGAAATTCAGGATCTTCACTCCTGAGATTGCACAAAAAACACGACTGAATATCCATTCTTTCTCATACGCGTGGTTTTGAATGACCGCGTTTACTAAATAATTTCCGTAAATACTCGGAGAACTATCAGAAAAACAGATCAGGGAATATGACACAGGGCCCCACAGGTATTTGACAAAGTAGGTAAATAATAAACTGACTAATATGCACGTTGCGTTAAGGCAAACTTATTTTAATTTTTTCATTGATTGTC